AACAAACAAACAAAAAACCATTTTATAGGTACACATCACAGCCAAACTTCAGTCTTGCAAGCAGCCAGAGATATGTGACACATTACAAATGGGGAACTGCAATACAATTAATGACTGATTTCTCATGAGAAATAAAGACCAGAAGATTTCAGAATGACATATTTAAAGAGTAAAAAGAAAAAAAAACTGAATGAGAATAACAATTTGTCAAAATTAAAGCAAATTAAAACTACTTAAAGTAGCTGAAATTGGAGATAATTCATAACTTGGAGACTTGCATTATAAAAAATGTCCTTCAATGGAAGCCCATCAGGCTGGGAATAGTGGCACATGCTTATAATCCTGGAACTCAGGAGGCTGAGGCAGGAGAGTCATCGTGAGTTTGAGGCCAGCCTGGGCTACACAGTGAAACACTGTCATTTATAAATAAAAGAATAAACAAATAAATAAATTTTAAAAAGAAGCCTGTCAGTTGGCAAGTTGGGAAATGATGTCTGATGGCAACTCAGACTGATATGAAGCCATAATGACCGTCAAAAATGGTAAAAATGATGCAAATATAAAAGGACACACACTTGTATATATGTATGTGTACATATTTTTCACTTTTTCAAAAGATTTGTGACTAAAACAAAAATTGTAACTGAATTTTTGAAGTAACTGAATTGCAACTGAAGTATGAGGTATGGTCACTAAAGACAGTATTTAAAATTTAAAAAAACTTATTACAGTAAAAGGCATTAGCATTGCTCTCTCTAAAAATATTCCCCTTCACTTTGACACAACTCACTGTTCTTGCCATTCTTTTTTTTTTTGGTACTGGGGATCGAACTTGGGTCCTTGCGCTTGCGAGGTGGGCCACCGAACTGCTAAGCTAAATCCCCGGCGCCATTCTTTATAATATATATTTTTGGGAGGTTTTTAATCCTTTCTTTGCTCCCCCCAAATGAAACAGATTTGAGTACATATGCAAATTATTTAAAAATGAATAAAAGAATCCATTCTAAAACATGGCAAAATGACACATTATACCACATAAGGCCACAAGTGTTAAAGGACTGCTTTTTCTTCACACTGTTTTTGAACTAATAATACTGTTACATTCTGTGCGACACAAACTCTGCCAGATATTAGATGGAGATGAAACAAGAAGGAGTACTATTTTGCTGTATTTGATTCATCTACATTTTTTTCTGACCTGTTTTAAGCCTCCAATAGATACATAAATGTCAGGATACGTCATTCCTAAATATTTCAGGACACTATACAGAAAATAGTCCATATAAACAATATACTACATTCTCTTCTAATACAGTCCATCTTTTACTCCGGGAAGTAAAATTTTTAAATATTTGTTTCCACAATTTCAATTTGTGTTACATTGTAATTTGTCCTTCAGTCTTTTCATGTTTGATTAATGAAATGTTTTCTTAACTTTTTTGGGATACAGTTTACTTGCCACCATTCCTATAACATTCCTATTGTATTATTTCCTTGTAGGACCTAAAATTAAGAATTTATTTATTGCCCTATTATATTTTCTGTAGCAAATATTTTGTATTGGTTCCAAATATTGGGGGGGTATTAGTTCTTTGGTAAATTTAAACGGCTGATTATTTTGGTTTTTGTAAATTCTTTATGGCCAAATTATGGATATTTAAAAGGACATAGTTGTGAATATTATCTTACCAGTAGTATCATTTTGTAAGCACTTATTTCTAAATTTTATGATAAATAATTCTACATCATGTGATGGTTTAGTCTTGATACTATTTAAATGGAAATAGGAGATCACCGAGTTTGCACAAATAAGTATAAAACCAATACTTTGGTATGATTTTCACTCTAGAGAGACATGGGAAATTTAATCGGAATAGTGTCAAAGAAAAGAACATGCTATGACATTATCTTCAGGAAGAGATATATAACTCCTTCATAATTTCTTAGTCTTCCTTTATTCATCTAATTCCCAATTAATTTTGACAGTCAACTAACTAATCTTTTATTATAATTATATTGATAAATAACAAACAAGCAGCATGATCATAAAGTGAATATATGAAAAAGCTTTGAGACATTTAAAAATATTTTTTAAAGGCATATTGGGTTTTATAATAACCTTGGTATAAAAACAATACACTCAAAATCTGGCAGATCAAGAAAGTCAACTGATAAAATAATTACAATAAGTTCAATCTTAACTGAATTTGCAAGCAATATTATTTAACATACCAAACATCTGGAGAGTCTGAATCACTGGAGAAAAAGTTTTTGCAAGATATTTAAATGTATGAATGAATTAATAAACTGAATAAGCATATAGCCCTCAACTATTCACCTTATTGGTGATTAGTCTTATTTAAAATGTTTTCTAGAATGGTAAGAGGAACAAGGGAGGAGGGAGGAGAAAGGAAAGAAAGAAGGAAAAAAGTGAAAAATAAGGGAAAAAGGAAACAAAGCTTTTGTACATAGGGAGGGGAGGAGACTTGAGAGGGGAAATAGGATAAAATAAAATAAAATTTATTTTAAAAAAGTTTTCTAGGGCCAGGGATTTAGTTCAGTGGCACCACATGCCTGCCTCATAAGTGCAAGGTCCTGAATTCTATCCCTGGTACCAAAAAATAAAAATATTAAAAATTTAAAAATGTGGTCGGGGATTTAGCTCAGTGGCATTGCCGCCTGCCCTGGCAAGGCCCTGAGTTTGATCCTGGATACCACACACACAAAAAAAAAGCAACAAAAATTAAAAAATGCTTTTAGGATAGACTTTAATACTATTCCCTAAAAGACATTTTATTATTTGAAGATAAAAAAGATTCATAAAATTAGCATATTAATGTATATTTCTGACTTTAATTATTTTTTATTTCTTTAGGAATATAAACAAGGGCCATGCTATGCAATCACTTTCAATTTTTGTGTGTGTGTTTGTTTGTTTTTTGAGACAGGGTCTCACTATGTAGTTCAGGCTGGCCTTGAACTCACTATGCAGCCTGGGTCTGCCCTCGAACTCACAGCAATCCTACTGCCTCAGCCTTTTGAATGCTGGCAATACAGGTGTGCACCACCATGCCTGCCTAGGCAATCACTTTCTATATTTCTATATATATATACATATATATATTCCTATATATATATCTATATATAATATATACTCTATGTATCTATATGAACTATATTCCCAGCCTCTAATTATTTAGTACATGTCATATGATATAGTGGTCAGAGATATTGGGTGGTAGCTGCCCCAAAGATCATGGTCAGAAGGTTGCTTAATTCACATTGAGATTGCTGTTGTAACCTAGTCTCTCATATATGATTTGAGGTGGCCAGTTGCCTACTCATAGCCAGCACAGATAATAGGTAATTGTTTGCTACTAATATTTTTCCACAATTATATGAGTAAGTCTATTTAAATGGCTAGGGAAATTGGATCTAGTCTATTGAAGGAAGCTTCCCGTTTTGCTCATGCTGCTTCCTCTATCTAAATGCCATTCCTCCCTTTGATTCCTTCTCTTATTGATATGTTTTTTTTAATCAGTAATGTTCAGCTTGAGTCAGCTGTTCTATGAAAACTTCCCTGAGCCCATCTTTTTTCCTATACATGTATCTATCTCAGTCCAGGACATGTCACTTGCTGATAGTCTCTCTCAGACTATTGATGACTGTCACACTCAGCTTTGATTCTCCAGCACATTTCTGACATCATTCCAAGTGTTTGTAGAATTGAAGAATAAATAAATAACACATTATGAATAAATAATACATTAATACATAATATTATAATACACAATAAATAATACATAATAATAAATACATAAGAAAAATAATAAATACATTAATAATAAATAATACATTCTAAATAAATAAATAATACATTACTTCAACTAAAACAGAATGGAAAGCTCATAAAAATAGCTCATAGTTCATAGTTCAAAGGTCATAGTTCATGAACTGCACAGCAGGGGCTCCTCGTACAAAAAACTGAAATGGAATTTTCTAGCCAGGTTTATGTTGCTCAGGGACAATTCCAAGCATGAGTATAACCGCTATGAAAAGTACTGATGCACAAAGAAACTCCACTGCCTTAACAATAAAAGGATTTGTGTAGATCTGTGGATGAATTAGATGTGGAACCACAGAGATGGGGATATTCATTCATACAGAGAATCTGCAGAGAGACAAGTAATTGGCTCTGAATATCTCAGGATAAATTCCTGGTAAGTGGATTTCATAAAGTAGTGAGTGTTCAGGGCTGGGGATTTCGGTCAGTGGTGGCTCACCTGCCTCACAGATGCAGGGTCCTCAGTTTGATCCCTGATACAATAAACAAAACAGAACAAAGCCCCTACTTTTTTAAGTGTTCATATTTGATAGCAGATTTTGGAGTAACTCTATTTTTACTTATTTTCTAGTTTTTCCTAATGATTACGTAGCTTTAGAACATTTTTTTAAGAATAAATGAAATATTTAAACAGTTATTGATAGCCAATGAGAACAGAGAACATTTGCTGTGATAGATCAGAGAATTCAAAAATTCTAATTGACCTTTAGAGACTCAACTTAGGCAATTTGAAAAAAATTTTATGGCAAACTGACAATGCAATTTCCCATCAAGATTATCTATTAGAACTGGTCTCAAAATTTAGAATTATAGATGTCTTTACTATTTATGAAAAGTATAAAAATTTGATTTTTAACTAAGGTCACTAGATCTGAAAGAACCATCTATAATATTTGTAGAAAATATTTTAATATGAAAAATTATATTGTTAATTATGACAATTTCATCGTGCATTCTTATGGCTGCCTGTAATCCCCACACTCTGGAGGCTGAGACAGGAGAGTGGTCAATAGTTTGAGGCCAGCCTGTGCTACATATATAGTGAGTTCCAGCCAGCCTGAACTACACAGCAAGATTCTGTCATACAAACAAAAAGAGATATCACTAAAATATAAATGATTTAATGGTACAAACTAATCCACTGACAAGAACTTTTAAACACTGTGAACAAAACAACTTACAGCATTTGCAGTGGTCCCCAGCCCATCATAATACATTACTCCGAGCTGGTAAGTTGCTTGATGATCTGTCTCCTTGATATCTTCAAACTGTTCTAATGCTTCCTCATACCATCCCTGTAATTTCCCAGAAAATGATTATTTTATTATGATACTACAGTAACACCAAGCTGAGGTGCCATGAGGCTATTTATGCCCAAACATACACAATTAAGCAATATAGATGTACTGAAACCTGTGGCCAAACCTGAGAGATCATGCCCTTAGCTGTTGGACTATGCCAACTCAGAATGACATGTGCATGCTGAGTTCTCAACAGATACTTGTTTGTAGAAAGAAAGGTTAGAAAGTGGGATATGGGTGAATAACTCCCAAATATTCACTGGATCATAAGGGACAGAGGACATTCTCTTTTTAAACTTTCCCTTGGGGTTCGATGAAGAATCAAAGGTATACTACTGAAGTTGGATGATAGTTTGCATAGTTTCCCCTAAATCGACCTCCTACGATAGCGTAATGTATATGAAACTGACTCCATGCTGAATAGAAACACACAAAGTTACTTTTAAGCACAGTGGTAGATAAGAATCCAGGCCTTCAATCATAAGCAGTATGAAAATATCATATATATATATATAATATTTTGAGCAAAAATATAAAAATATTTTAACTTATAGTGTGAAAAATAATTTTTAAATACCACAATAGCTTCTACCGTAACATTTCTGAGAATGACTTTTATAAAGAAAGGTCAGATATCTACTTAAACTGGTATATCATACCTGAAGTAATTTGATAGGATTTCCCTGGTATAATAATATAAGGAATGAATCATGAAATTTGTATCTGGGGATCTTAACAATAGGTTTATAGGGATGAATACAAATAAATAAATACCTCATCAAAATATAGTTGACCACGTAGGAAATAAGCCAGAGCATCCCCTCTTCTTATTCTTTCCTTCAAGAGCTGCAATGCTTTATCCACCAAATTAGCATGGCTGTAATGATCTGAATTAATAAAGTAAAAATTCCATTAACCATGTAATGTGAATTTTCTCTTGAAGTAATAAATTATATACAATTCACCTGACTGTTAATATTATTTTCTTTCTTAGTTTGCATCCCTAAAACTGGCCTCTTTAGCCCAAGGGAAAAAGCATTATCATAGTCCCTAACACTTTACTTTGTAATACTGACTGATTTTCAAAATAACCCTGTGTATTGATTGCCAAGTCAGAGCGCTAACAATACAGTCTATGTGCATATATTGGTTTTTCTTTAGGAAAAGTTATCTTCTGGGTGAGTTAAATTGTTACCCTGAAGCTTACTTAGAACTACTCTAATAAAATCAGTTGCCCATCTCCAACTTAATTTCTTACATCTATCTATATGATAGAAACTGGTAGCTTTATATGCCCATTTCAAGTAAAACATGGTTATATTCTCTTTAATATAATTGACATTTGGCTTCCTCTTTCTGGAAGCACATCCTTAAGTCCTGAGAGTAAAATCAGAATCAGTATTGAATTCTGAGACTCCTTCACTTATAATTTGGTACTGGATTAAGTTGCAATTTCACAGATTATTACAGGAAAGTTTTATAAAGACCATAAAGTAACCACTTCCTTTAAATTGGTAAGACACACATTTCTTGTCTTGTTTATCCTAACATGTAATGAAATTTTAGTAAGCATATTTTGCAGGGAAATATTAAATATCTACATTTATACCAGTGTTTTCCTTTCTCCATTGGAATAATTTTTGGTACTTAGCAGCATACTGAGATATAGAGGTATAAAAGGGATTCTTGGGCAACTTTTCACTGGTCAACTTCATCCTGTTTCCACAATGTGTATTCTGTAAACAAGAATAAAAAATAAGATGGCAGAAATTTCTTCTTCCAGGAAAGTGCAGAGGCTTCATCCCCAACTGACATCTATCATAAAAAGCACCCCCCTCCCACTGCCTAACAATCTGACACCAACTACAAGTTCTGAAATGTGAACATTCTTTCTTAGGAAACCAGGACCCTCCATAGCTATAAGATGTAGTCATCCTCCATTCCTTTTGCACAGCACAGGACTGATGGTGAAACCAGTTTGCAAGTCCTATCTGATTATAGCTCCACTGTGAATCATGACACACACCACTACTGCTGCCATTTAGTGGGAATTCCTGACACAGGCAATAGATATAGTTCTTGTGCACTAGGATCTTTGTATGGCCTTGTAATTTAAGCTCATTGGAGTAATTCATTTCACATGAAAGCATTTATCTATTATTTTTACCTGGGAATATACTTAATTTTAGTTGTGTTCTTCAGTTTTATCTTCCTGTCTGTATTGGATTGCCATGTCATTAGATGGATCAGAGCTGAATGGTGAAGCACAGCCTTCATATAAAATGTAGAGGCCACCTCATTTGGGATGAAGGAGTCCAGGTTGGCTCAGGCTGGGGGCTGTGAGACAGCAAATTCAGTTGTTGCTATGCTCCTTTGATTATTCCTTGGCATTCTATGGGTACAGCTTAGTTGAACCAATCAAGAACAAGCTTTCAGGCCAGGTTCTTGATTGGTGGTCAAGAGACGAACTCAAGAGACCCTTAGTGTGACTGGAAAGCTGCATTTGTATAATTATGAGATTATTTTAGAGAAAAAGTTGCTTCATTAAAGAGAATGAAATGCAGAAAAGGGAAGTAATTCAGTATATTAGCAAAAAACAAAATCAGTGAACCATCTCTGTGATTTTGGAAGAATCATTTATATTTTTTTCATTAAATCTATTGATACATTATATGTATACAATATGGTGACATGCATCATTGGGAATTTGTACCTGTACATGACACATCTTGGTTCTTATTTTTTTCCCATTCCCCTGCCCTCCAACCCCTCCACCCCTCCCTAGTTACCAAAACTTTGTTTCCATTTTTTCCTTTCCCTTCTTTCCTTTCCCCTACACCCTCCACTTCCCTTTCCCCCTGTTCTTTGGACCTTTTTTTAAGAGTCAATTTCTTCATCTGTATTTTAGAGTATTATATTTTTAATTAAAGGATTAAAAAAATGTCCCTTCCTAGATATATATAATTATTTCATTATATGACTTCCCAAATCTATGGTTTCATTAATGAATATAAAGTTCTCAATGAATTAAACGGTGAAGCAATATTAGATACAGTATTTAGAAGAAAATACAAATAGGATAATGCAGGTAGTTTGCATTGTCATTTATTACCCAGAAGCTGATACAGAAGTTTTTACTTTGACTGAAGATGTTAACCCAAAAAGGTTAAGAAAATCCTTGGCATATTCAGGAAGAATATCAGATCTTACCTTCTATAAGCTCTCATTACCCTCTGTGGTTATAACAGTGCACATGTTTTCTGTTGCTGTAGTTTAAAAGAAGTGTTGGAGAAGGTCTGGAAAAATAATAACATTGAGCTCTTACTAACTGTATTGTTCTTTGTTCTAAGTCTTTACAGGTAGTCATTCCTATAAAACTTTATAAGATAGGAACTATAATGAGGAAACTGAGGCATGGTGACAGAGATAATTTACAAACTCAGTGGGAGAGCTGGGATGTTCTAACACCTATGCAAATCTTTATTATTCTATTCTGTCTCTCTAAAATGCCAAATTATGATTTTTTAACATGGCAGGACTCTTGTGACTTGAAATTTAGTATAGTACTTTTCAATATGAAAAAGTAAGAACTAAGATCAAAAGAAAGCAAATGTTATGGGTTTTGTTTAGATGTCCCCTCAAAGCCTCATGCTTTTTTAGAGGTGGCTGAATCTATAGTGTGTGACACTGGAACTGATTCATGGTGGGGCTAGGCTGGAGGGTACTAGGATTAAGGGAGTGAGTGCTACCCGCCCTAAGAAGTCTGAATAAAATGAAAGGGGCAGAAAGACACTGTTAAGACCTCTTCCTGCTTTTGCTGTCTTGTACAGCCATGAACTGTCACCCCTCTGCCACCCTGCCTTGGAGCCAGCGGATTATGGGCTGAAACTTCTATGAACTGTAAGCCAAATCATCCTTTCCCCCTTTAACTTTAGTTGTCATGTATTTTTGTCTCAGCAACCAGAGAAAAGTAACTAAGACAGCAAGAGTATGCTTTTTTCTGCCAATCTTGAGATTTGATATAAAATCATGGTTTGAAGCTTGACAACTGATTGCATAATACATTGTAAATTTAGAAAATTTTGTAATAGAAAGTAGATGTTACTTGATAACATAGAATCTGAAAGAAATGTGTGATTTTAAAAAAGAAGGGTAGGGCAGGGGTAAGGGGAAAAAATGAGAATCAAGACTTGTCATGTAGAAGTACAAGATCCCAACAATGAATGTAACTGTACTGTATCCCTAAAATGTACCAATAAACTCAATTAAAGCTGAAAAAAAAGAAGGGTAAGTGTAGTGGATGTAGTGTAAGTGTGGCACCCTCCTCTTTATGAGTTAGTATTTCGATCCCCAGCTTCTGTGAATGTTAATTGCAAACAACTCACAGCTTTTCCCTTTCTATACCTTTTCTCTCCACTCAACTTTGTCCCTAGTCAAACATGAGTTCCCTCACTTCACACACATTGCTCTATCCTTGGGGCAGATCAACCACTTAAGGTTGGTACCGAGATGTCCCTCCAGAGCCTCATGGTCTCATAGGCAGGGCTTTTGGAAGGTGTTTGGATTATGGGGGTTTAAAGCTGACTTGCTGGGAGGAGGTGGGGTCTGGTCTGAAGGTCACTGGGGCGTGGCCCAGAAGGGTTAATCTCCCTCTTCAGTTCCTCTCTTCATCTCTCTGCTTCTTGGCTGTTATACATGAGCATCGATTTCTCCACCATGCCCCTGTGCCATTCCCTCCTGTCTTGGAGCCAGCCCACTAGGCCAGGAGTAAGACTACTGAAATATGAGCCAAAATAAACCTGTCCTTCTTTAGGTTGCGGGCGATGGCAAGCTATGAGGAAAATTCAGAGCTATATGATACATCTGTGATGATTTTCGGGATCCAGATTCCTCCTTTTAGTTTAGCTTTGTCATGGTTAGGTCACCATATGGTCTAAAATGGCTGTGGGCGATCCTGTTATCAGGAGTTCATTCCAGACCCCAGGAAAAGGCAGTCATGCTCCATGTAAGAAGACTCTGTGGCAAACCATACAGTACTTCCACATGTGGATCTCGCTGAAAGAAATTCTTTTAGTAAAAACTGTCAAAGTTCCTGAGCAATTCATTTACAAATTGGCAATAGAAACTTATTATTGGCTTCCCTGAAGCCAGTAGCTTTGAAATGGCATTCATTTACAAATAAAAGATTATATTGAAAGTGAAATCACATTCTGCAAAATAAAAATATTTTATTGTTAATTTAATAAACATAAATGATCACCTATCAGGAAAGTAAGTTCTCTCTTTGGCTTTTCTAGACTAACCTGTCTGCTTAAGAGACCTTTACACTACCTTAAAGGATTTCCTGTTTAATATTGTCTCTGTCTTTCACATAGATTTATTGTGGGGGCTTGCATACAAGACCTTCATACTGAGCTGTATCCCCACCCCTTTTTATGTTTTGAGACAGGGTCTGAATCACTAAATTGCCCAGGCTGTGCTGGAATTTGTAATTTTCCTGCATCAGCCTCTTAGAGTGCTGGGATTATAAGCATGTACCACCATGCCCAGCTCCCCCAAATTTTTAAAAGACTGTTCTCTATACTGCCCATAAATTTTCCACAAAACATTGACATATCATCTTCAGTTCATAAGCTATAGAACTCTTGTCATAATATAAACAAAGAAAATATTTAGTTACTTTTAAGGCTCAGTAGAATCTCAACAGCACTGATATATTATGGCTACCTGGATACCAACAAACATTGATATATCATATTCAGATTTTTGTTTTGTTTTGTTTTTTTGAGACAGTGTCTCACTTTGTAGTTGAGACTGACCTGGAACTCACTATGTAGCCCAGGCTGGTCTCGAACTCACAGCGATACTCCTGCCTCAGCCTCTCGAGTGCTGGGATTACAGGCATGCACCACCATGCCCGGCGGTATTCAGAAATTTTTGATGAATATTATTTGAATATATTTTGCTGTTATTCCCAATTACTCTTCCTTTTAATGCTGTGCATTTAGGAAACACTTTTTTGTATCTTTTTGATCAATAAAAGCAAACAGGAAATTTTTATTTAATAATTTTCAAACATTCATTTATTTATTCAAGAATTCCTTAAATAGGAAGCACTATACTAAGTATTGTGGGATATTCAATTCCAGGAACAAAGCTACATTAACAGCCATTATTAAATGATTTTTTTCTTTGTAATGCTGGGATTGAACCCAGGGATTTTCATTGAGCTACATCCCTAGCCCTATTTATTTTCTTATTTTGAGAAAGGCTTTTGCTAAATCGCTAAACTGCCCACGTCTCCTGCTTCAGCCTCAGAGTGCTGGGATTACAGTCATGCGCCACCGCACGCAGTAAAAAAGTTTTACTATGGAATAAATTAATAACAATAATTTTCTTAAAGATTTTTTTTTTTTTTGGTACCAGGGATCAAACTTGGGTCCTTGTTCTTGTGAGGCAGGTGGGAACCATTGTGCTAAATCCCCAAGCCTTGAAGACTTTTTTCTACTTTAAAGAAGCCAATTTTAGTAATGTGAATTTATCTAAGGTGACCACAATTGTTAAGATGTATTAGGAATGATAAAAATGTGGGGTCTAAAGTCAACTGCCTGAGTTCAAATTCCAGCTCCACCCCTCAATAATTAAAAGACTTTAAGGATTGGTGTCCTTTTCTGTAAAAGATAATAAAATACCTATCAGTGTCTTATACATAAGTATTCAATTAAAGCCGATTTACTATAATAATAAATTGAATTCATTAGTGGAGATTTACATGTTCTCATTTGTAAGCTTTTTGTACCACTGTTGTATATTCATCATATACTACCACCAGGATGAACTATACTCAGTACTCAACAGTGGGTAGTATTTTATTTTATTTATTTATTTTTGTGACAGGGTCTCACTGTGAAGTTCAGACTGGTCTTGAACTCACTCATAGCCCAGGCTGGCCTCAAACTCGCAGCAATTTGTCTGCCTCAGCCTCCCAAGCGCTGGGATTACAGGTGTGCATAATCACGCCTGGCTTTGGATGGTGTTTTATACTTCTTAGAAATAGTTTTCCATTCTTGACCTATTTAGAATACTCTTATTCTTCAAGAATCAGCCCACACTTCTCTTATTTGTTCAATTCTTATGATTTTCGAAAGGAACTCTCAGTAGCATACTTTTAGACACATATCTACTAACAAAAGAGACATCTAGAACTAGCAATGCTTAGAAGAGTGCCAGTTGAATTTTGTTAAGGTTTGCATCTAGATGTCGCCAGAAAGCCTCATGTGGCTGTAGGTGGGGGTTTTTAGAGGTGGCTGGATCTAGGGTGGGTGCTGCTGGGATCAAGGATGTGATGCTAGGATTAAGGGTATGAGTGCTACTTACCCTAATGGTGAGTAAAACATAAGGAACAGAAAGAGCTGTGGTCTTGGCTTGTCCTTTGTTGCTTGCTTGCTGCTTTTGTTGTCTTCTATCTGCCATGAACTGTTTCTCCTCTGCCACGCCCACCCGCCCTGCCACCCTGCCTTGGAGCCAGCCAACTATGAACTGAAACCTCTATGAACTGTAAGCTAGATAAGCCTTTCCTCCTTTAACTGTGAGGGTTGGTATTTTGTCTTAGTAATGAGAAAAGTGAGACAAAATGTAGTCGTAAACCACTTTCCTCTTTTGCAAATCAGTCCTACTTGTTATATGTTTAGTAAGAATTCCAGTTACTTGCAGTCTCATAATGTTCAAGTGTATTTACTATGTGTATTTTTGTGCTCCACAAGCTTTATTCAATTTTTAAAAGTTTTTAGGGCATTACTAATGGTAGGAGCAGCTGAGATATAAAGAATTTTTCTGGAACAATGTGAGCAATGGACAAATAATGATGAAAGACAAAAAAGTTGTAACAACTACTCACAAAATTTCCTCTCCCTGTAAAACTTAATATATATTAACCAAAACTTAAAAATAATTATTAGGCCTAATGCATGATGAACAGTATCTTAAAGAAAAATATAGGGATACTTTCACCATATATCCCATTACAAAAATTGATTAAACAATACATATGCTTAAAATTCTAAGAACTTCTCTGACAATATCTTTTATCTGGAATTTTAAATGAACATCTGTGTAAACCTGAAGCTTAATTCCATGTGCTTTTAGAAATGGTGCTTAACGAATTGGTTGATGAGAGAAAAGGAACTTGGCAACAGGGATGTGAGTTTGCTAACTTTGATAACAATATTTCAGCAGTGCTTTTCTTATTTTTTCCCCTCTCCGGTACCGGGGATCTGCGAGGCAGGCCACAGAACCACCGAGTTAAATCCCCGGCCCTCATGAGTGCTGTTCTTTATCATAAGATTTTTGTGAGGTCCAGGGATTTAGCTCAGTGGTTTTGCTGCCTGCCTCACAAGTGAAAGGTCCCAAGTTTGATCCCTCATAGCAAAAATAAATAAAGATTTTTGATTAGTTTAAATATTAAAGAACATACCATTCTATGTGTTGGAACAGAAGTCTATGTAAATAAATAAATATATATACTTAAACATTTATATAAATGAATATATAAATTTATTCTTATGGCCAAATAGCCATATAAATAAAAATGTTTAAAACTATCCCTGGGTTCCTGCTTAAGTTTAATAACATAAATTTATGATCGCAGAATTATTGTATGAGTCTGATTACAAAATGATATATAGTTAACAAAAATTAGACACTGAGCTTGTCCTCTAAAAGTACAACAAACATACGTATTTTTAGAGGGGAGTCACTGAAGACTTTAGAGAAAGAAATACATAGTTGGAGATTTGGGTTTTAGCTAGATTAATGTGGGGAGAGTGCTTAGGAAGAGAATCGAGTTTTCAGTGGCTCTACTTTTAATTAAAGTTTTACAAAAAGGGAATGGCTGACTATACTGCATCCTACAGAGCCCCTGGAGGGCCATCTTCCCAGTCCTGCCTCCCGGGTACCCAGGGTGGACACCCTTGCCCAGCGAGAAGAGCCCCTAAGTCTTCACAGTCCGTGGCCTGGGTCTAATTTTTCCACGAAGCCCCCTAATAATCAGGGTGATGACAACCACAGTTGCCGCAAACTACTCATTTATCGCCTGGCCTCTTACTGCGCTAGGACACTGTACCCTCTCCCCATGAGGGGACACTTCACGGCGTTCGGGCACGGCTTGGAGGACCGCATTGAACTCTGGAAGGGGCCGTTCCTGTGGTAAATCCTGTCCCCTCGTGCACACTAACAGGCCCCACTCTGGCTTTTCCTCCCTAAACTTCAGGGCCTCAGTGAGGGGCGACCGTGAATGCGAGGCTGAAGGCGGTCTCCCTCCTTCAGAACCCTTCACAGCGCCAACACCGCGCACAGAGGCTTCCAAAGGCGGTGTCGGAGCACAGCTACTTAGCTTGGCCTTTTTTCCTGGCTACGTGCAAGGGTGCAGAAACCTAAACCTTCTCCAGCGACTCCCGCTTCTCCGGAAGGATTAAAGGGCTTGGCATCCGGCCGCAGTACGTGACCGACTGAGCGCGCCTCATGGCAGGCGCCGAACCCTAATCGCCCGGGGTCTTGTTCTCCCCGCCCACCGCCTTCAGGGCGCACGC